ATAAATAAATAAATAAATAAATAAATAAATACTTAAAAAAAAAAGCTGATGGTTTCATCACAGAAAATCAAGTCCAAATGACCAAGTCAGGTTCCAGGGCTAAGAATCAGAGTGGAGGCTGGACATGGTATCTCATATCTTTAGTCAGAACACTTGGGAGGGCCAGAGTTAGTGAGATCTTGTGCTAAAAAAAAAAAATCGGATGGGGTGTGGTGGTGCACGCCTTTAATCCCAGCACCTGGGAGGCAGGGGTGGGTAGATCTCTGTGAGTTCCAGGCCAGCTGGGGCTACAGGGAGACCCTGTCTCACAAAAAAGGATAGCATGACATGAATAAATAAAAACATAATGTAAAATTTTTGCTTCCTGTGCCTGTGTGATGATGTGAGAGCTTAGCTTCTGCTGCTCCTGCTCCAGCCACCTCACCTTCCTACCATGACAGACTGTAATTGCCCTGGAACCATAAGCTCAAACTGCTTTGGTCAGTGTTTCTATCACAGCAACAGAAAAGTGACTAATACAGCAATTGGTACGAGAGAGTGGGCTGTTGGCTGTGAAGAACCTGACCATGTGGGGTTTTGAAGAAATGTGCAAGACTTTGGAAGGTTGGGGCTAGAAAAGCAGCTGACTGCTGTAAGCGGAGCTTAACAGGCCATTCTAGTAGGCACCTGGAAGAAAGTAGTGCTGAGAACAATGTAGTTCCAGAGGGAAATAAGGACTTAAGCAGCACTTGGGATATTTTGGCAAAGTTTGTCTGGAGTCTGCCCTAGATCAAAAAGCTTGCATGAGGCTAAGTTGAAAAGTAATGGACTAATTTCTTTGGCGGAAGAAATTTCAAGACAGCCTAATGTAGAAATGGTGGTGTGGCTATTAATGGTGAATACTATGCAGGTCTACAGTGAAAGAGAGCAAATGGGGCAGAAAGAAATACAGTTTGAAAAAGAGCACTAGGAAAATGAATGTTGGAGCCCTGGCATGTGATGGAGAGGATCCCATTGATAAGGAGATTAAAGTGATTAAGGACAGGCCTAGAGATTCTGACTTAAACAATGGAGAAAATGCCTCCAGGGCAAGACCACACCCAGTTAAGCCTCCAACTTGTGAAAGCAAAATGCTGCAGGGACCACTGAAGAGAAATGCTTCTAAAATGGATAAAGCAGGGTGGAGTCCATCCCAAAGTTGCAATCAAACTTGGCAGGGTTGTTCACCTGGTGCTGGCTTTAGAGACATGAAAGATGCAAGAGTGAAGGTCATCATTTCTTCCTCTGCGGTTTCAGAGAGCCTTGGAGGCCAGGCAACGTGTAGCAGGGTTCCCCGGCCTAGAGAAGGCCCTCATAGGCCTTTGTGTGAAGCTGTGAAGGTGAAGCCTGGTTGGCAATGGAGACCCCAAGAAGTTCCCAATGCTAGAGCTGTGAGGCATCTGCCAAGAAGACCTGCATACAGGGAGTGGTACCAGCACAAGAGAGATATGTGTGTTGTACGCAGCAAAACTAGAGAGGCTGAGTCATCTAAGCCCTTTTGAAGTAAAGTCCTAGGAAGTTGCATGTGGAGCTACTGGATTTGGTGTTTCACCTGCTGGTTTTTGGTCTAGTATTTGTCCAGTATTTCCTTACTATGCCTCCATTCCTCCCTTTTGAAATGGTAATGTGTATTCGGTTCTACTGTATGTTGGGAGTATGTAATTTGTCTTTTGATTTTATAGAGCCGTAGAGTTAAGATATTTACCTGAGTCTCAGAAGAGACTTGGGACTGTGGACTTTTGAATAGTATTGAGACTGATGACTATGGGGACTTTTAATTTGGACTAAATGCATTTTACATTTTATATGGTCATGAGCCTATGGGCGCCAGGGGGTGGAATATGGTGGTTTGAATGAAAATGCCCCCCATAGGCTCCAAGTATTTGGACATTTTTTTCCCCAGATGGTGGCACTGTTTTTGGAGGTTTCAGAAGGTGAGGCTATCCTGGAGGAAGTACATCACTGGGGGTGGGCTTAGAGAGTTCTTAAGCCTTGCCAGATCCCCAGTTGCTCTCTTGCTTCCTGTACCTGTGTGATAATGTGAGAGCTTAGCTTCTGCTGCTCCTGCTCCAGCCACCATGCCTCCCTGCCATGATAGACTGTAATTCCCCTGGAACCGTAAGCTCAAATAAACTCTTCCTTCTATAAATTGCTTTGGTCAGTGTTTCTGTCACAGCAACAGAAAAGTGACTAATACACTATCTTATTGGGTCACAGACTATCTCTTTAATGTTGACCTTTAACTTTGCACGGCTATGCCACTCTCCTGCTAAATTTCTATCCTTGTTCTTTGCCAACTCCTCATCTTCCATGTCACATTATTGCCAACAAAAAATCAATGAAACATTTTCTGTGTGTGTGTATTTTTTTTTATAACCCATAAAATCTGCTCCTTCAAGTCTGTAGGTCATCAAACATAGATTTATCTTAAAGAGAAAATACCCTTGGCCATTCTTCCTATGCAAATCCTTCTGCAGTAAATTTCTTTTCCTTCTCTATCCAGTGTTTCCAGAATACACTGTGGACAATCTATTTCAGCTTGCTTTCCATAGGGTTCTTCTGTCATCAGTTCCTGAAACAAACTGAACTGTCATAGCAGACCTCCGTTCCTCTAAACCAAAGGCCATTCATTAGCTTATACTCTGACATGATGTGGTCTGATGTCTGTGTAAAGACTGATACTCTTCCCACAGTCATATGTTTCTCTTCCTACCTGCAAAAATCTTAAAGAGGAAAGTAGGGGATGTAAGGAGTGGACCAAGGACATGTGACATGAAAATGGAAAGGAAACTAATTGGGGTTGGGGAGAGAATGCAGTGGGGGAAGACAGGATGTGGGAGAGATGAGAGAGGAAAATCAAAGAAAACTGTTTGCTTGAAAGTACTACAATGGTACCTAATACTTTGTATGTCAATTTTAAAAATCAGAGAATTACAAATATATATGTATATATTTCTAGTCTCAGTACTTAAAATAGGTGAGATAGTTATTTCAAAATGAAGTTTTTCTTTCTTGAATAAGGTTGAACTTTCTTTGTTTCCTGGCTAAGGTTGAAGTCTCTTGATTTTTTTTTTTTAAGTGTTAGAACCTTGTATATTTCTTTTAATACAGGTTTTTACTATGAGATCCTGGCCCAGGTGTCAGTCATCTTGTGATCCTCCTGCCTCAGCCTTACTAGCGCACTAGTGCTGGGATTATAGGGACACACCACCATATCTTGGCTCTCAGGTCTGAAATTTTGACTGTCTCCATCCTCAGTAGATGTACTACCTACTCCCCTAGCCCTTTTGTTGACTTTTATCTTCATTGCTGCATGAGACCTTAGGTACTGAAAAAAATTTGTATTTCTTTATGATTTGACTCTGTGAAACAGTACTTAAAACTAAAGAAAAGAGAGAAATGTAGCTTTATACTGGTCACTGTGGTATATACCTTTAATCTCATCACTAAGGAGACAGAGATAGGTGGATTTCTGTGAAATTGAGGCCAGCCTGTTCTGCCTGACAAGATGGGGCAACAGGGAGACTCTGTCTCAAAAAACAAACAAACTTCCCAGTGTGGTGGCACACACCTTTAATCCCAGCACTTGGCAGCCCAGAGGCAGGTGGATCTTTGTTCGATTGAGGCTAGCCCCCCAAAAAAGAATAATAAATACCATAATATAATATGGAATATTTGTAAACCATTACAATGATTTACATGTGAATTTATTAATATGAAATGAGGTCTGCAATGTACATATGAAAATCAAAATCATATGCCTGATACTAACTGTAAGGTTATATGTATAATATATATTTATAGATGAAGATCTTGAATGGTACAAGGAGGTATGTCTTTGGAAAGAGATTTCTAGAGCATTATTTTTTGCTTTTTTGCTCCTTGTGCCTTTAAATTTTTTAAATTAATATTTATTTTATGTATATGAGTGTTTTGCCTGCATATATGTAAGTGTGCCACATGTGTGCAGTGCCCACAGAATACAGATGAGGGTATAGATTTTCCTGGAACTGGAGAGTTACAGTTGTCAGCCTCCATATGGGTACTGGGAACTGAACCTGATTTTTTGTAAGAGCAGCCAGTGCTCTTAACTGCTGAACCTTCTCACCAACCCTGCTTTTGTGCCTTTTAATTCTTTTGTAGAAAATATTTACTGATTTTGTAATAAAATTAAATTTAAGGGTTTTTTTTTTGTTTTGGTTTGGTTTTTTTTGTTGTTTCTTTTTTTGTTTTGTTTTGGGGGGGTCTTTTTGAGACAGGGTCCCCTTGTAGCCCCATCTGGCCTGCAACTCACAGAGATCTGCCTGCCTCTGCCTCCCGAGTGCTGGGACTAAAGGCGTGTGCCACCACGCCCAGGTTAAATTTAAGTTTTAAGTACGTACAATAATAAAAATAATTCCCATAGTAGTGAAGGGGCTCATAAGGCCCCAATCCCTAGTTGGTGGTTGTTCAGGGAGGGAGAGTCATTTTTGTTTGGTGGCATAGGCACTTGTAAGATACCTGTGCTCCAATGAATGGTCCTGCATCCATGCATATATGGGCAGTACTAATTGCACTCAGTGACTTATTTTTTTAAAAAAGGAGCCATGAAGGTGGGTGGGGAGTGTTTTGGGAGGGCAAGGGAAGTTGGAGGGGGAGTGCAGAATAGATGTAATAAAAAAACACATCATATATATTTGTTATTCTCAAAGATTATATAGAATATATATTTCCACTGTAATTTTTGTCATTAAGGTATTATAATTTTGTTTCCTGAATTTATCAGCTACTTATGAGCCTATGATTATTATATTTGATATCTTACAGGTTCCTCTACCTGGCATGAAATGGGTAGATAACCACAAAGGAGTATTTAATGTTGAAGTTGTTGCTGTTTCATCTATCCACACACAGGTGAGTCTGAGGGGGTTTCTTAGTGATCAAATTTCACTTAAATTAATTGAACATATTATCTCATTTTATGTCAGTTTTATTTACTGCCTTCTTAAGGAATATATGTTAGTTTAAAACATAGGTTTAGACATTGTTTTTTCACTGTCATTAAATATTTTGCCTTTTAACTGCCGTTGATTTATCTTGAACATTCTCTCTCTTAATTTCTGGTACATGATAAAACAAAGTTGAAAAGCTGTCGACTCATTTTCTCTCTCACAGAGTCAGGTATCTCAAGTGGAAAGTTTTTAGGGATCATTTGTTCTTGATTTTCACTCTATGTTTGGATCCTGCTGTTTTCTAAAATTATCCTTTATGTGCCTGGAATACTTTTCCTTCTGATAGTTATTTGACTTCTTTTCAATAGTTTCTCATCACTTCGGAAAAGTTAATGCTTCGGTAATTATTTTGATATAGTAGTCCCATCTCTCTGATGCTGACCTTGCATTTGTTACTATGTTGTGTGTTGGTATCTGTGTTGTCACACTTTCACTGTGTGTGTATGTGTGTGTGTGTATGTGTCTGTACTTAACTTATAGCCTAGACTATAAATTTCCTAAGGCCAGAGTTGTTAACCTGTCAAGAATATAGCCTTGGGGGCTAGAGAGATGGTTCAGCAGTTAAAAGCACTGGTTGTTCTTGCAGAAGACCTGGGTTTGAATCCCAGCATCCACGTGGCAGCTGACAACTGTCCTATCTCCAGTTCCAGGAGATCCAACAGCCTCTTCTGTCCTCCGCAGGCATTGCATAATATGGATGCACCTAACATACATGTGGGCAATACACACATGCACATAAAATACAAATAATAAATAAAAATATTTTTTAAAATATAGCCTTACCTTTAAGTACATTACATTGTAAAGAGGCAAAAAATGAAATAATTATAATACAGTGTATGTATATGTTAGGTATGTTAGCAAAATCCTTTTGAGTAAAGTGAAAAAAATTATCTATTTTGCTCAGTACACCGAAGTTGCAGTAGGAAATAAATATTTACCATACAGAGATCTGAGCAGGAGGCAACTCAGATGATCAAATGGCAAGTTCAGAGTGATAGTAATCTGCATTTAAGGACTTGGATGAATGCACTTTAAAGTGCATAGGAAATTGAGGCTGGGGATCAGTAGTTAAGAGTGCTGGCTGTTTTGGAGAGAACCCTGGTTCAGTTCCTAGCACCCACATGACAGCTAACCCCAGTTCCAGGGGATATGGTGCCCTCTTCTGGCCTCCACAGGCATTGCACGCATGAATGCTCTTCTATGAATGCAAAACACTCAGATAAAGTAAATATTTTACATGCATAAGAAATCATGATAAATAAGGTCAGAAGACCAAGTTGGTCACATATTATAAATGATCTTGAATGTCATAGAGTTTAAAGTCCTAGTAGATAGTAATTTCTAGCTTAAATAGAAGACATAAGAAAAATAACTTCATGGGCACACTAAGAAGATTAATTATGCAGCCAAATGAACTGGCCTTTATGTGTCTGCTTGCTGCTTTTTGAGGAAAAATTTCTTATAGTGCAGGCTGCCATCAAACTATGTAGCCTAGGGATGCCTTGAAATTTTAATCCTCCCGTCTCTTCCTCCCAAGTGCTGGGATTAGAAGTATGACGGCCACCATACCTGAATTGAAATTACTTTTCAATTTATTAAGCTTGATGTGCCTATGGACTTTGTAAGGAGATGTCGCATAGGTAGTTGTAATTAGTTTGGAGTTTAGGGTTGAGGTAACAATTAATATGATAGCTGAATTAAAGTGGTAACTGTGATTTTCCAAAGAGAAAATGTAAAGTGATATGAGGTGAATGTTTAGAATAGAATTCAGGGAGGAGTGATATGGGGAGCTCCTGAATGACACAACGGTGTAGGACCCATGCATGCTGCCTTTCATGCTTTGTAACTCTGGAATATGATGGATATACTGATCTGATATCTGATGATTCTTCCTCCTCCTCCTCTTGCTCCTCCTCCTCCTGCTCCTCCTCTTCTTATTCTTCTTTCTTCTTCTTCCTTTTTTTTGAAACAGGGTCTCCCTGTAGCCCCAGCTGTCCTGGAACTCACTATGTAGACCAGGCTGGCCTTGAACTCACAGAGATCCTCCTGCCTCTGCCTCCTAAGTGCTGGGACTATGGGCCTACCACACTCGGCGCCTGATTTTTCTTAAAAGGATCTTCAGAAGGCAAACGCTTGCAAGAATGGTTTATACTTTCCTTATAAGTGGAAAATACTGAATAAATCGTTGCAGTTCATTGGTTATTTTTATTCATTTAGATGGCTACATCTAGGATAATCAAATTTTATGTTACACTGCACAGCATTGCTGCTTTTCTTAAAGTTTATTTTCATTGCTAAGTAAATAAAAATCAGTTCCAACAAACATTTACCCACATTGATCAGAGTAATATAGCATGGGGCCATCTCTTGGTATAAAGGAGCCTAAGAAAATAAACTTTTTTTCTGAAATCTATACTTTACTGCTTTAATAAGACAGTTTCTATTAGTACTCAAGAAGGAGGTTGAATAGTAGCAGTCAGGAGACAATTCTACCAACAGTTTGAATCGAGAATATTTAAAATACAGAATTATTAGACACATTACAGGTGGGATTGGAAAGATGGCTTAGCAGTTAAGAGTACTTGCTGCTGCTCTTGCAGAGGACCTTGGTTCAGTTCTCAGCACCCACATGGCTGCTCACAACTGTCCATAACTCCAGTTCCACATACATGCAGGCAAACATTCACATAAAGTTAAAAAAAATAGTAAAAAAATTATAGGTGATTCACTATTAAGTTAGGATAAAAGAATTCTGTGATAACAGAGATAGCAATTACAGAGGAGTATCAAGGAAGAAACTTAGGAATCCAGAGGAGGATCCTAAAGGCTGACAATCAGAACTCTGAGGAGAGGACACTGTTCCTCTAAGAACATCCCCCTTGTCAGAATTGGAGGAGAGCCTTAGCCCTAAAAGTATGAGAGCCACTACAGCCATGGTGAAGACATTCAAATCTGCTAGCCACCACTAGGAGGACATCAAGAATGAAAGTTGTTTTAAACTCCTCAAGTCTTGCAGACTGCCTTCTACACCCCCTACTGTCTGAGTCTGACCACAAGCCAGATGACAAGGGAAAACCATGAGTAGATCTAGCTCCAGTATTGCACAGTATGACAAGGAAGATGGGTTAGGAGCCAAGAGACAGTAAGTTAATAATGAACACATGTAGGTTACCAAAATGCCTGCCACAAGAATTAAGCTCCAAACAAATAAGCCAAACTCAAACAAAATGAGATCCTTTATTAATTTTATAATTACGTTTCTGTTGCTGTGATAAAACACTCAAAACCAACTTGAGGGAAGAAGGGGTTTATTTGGCTTATAGGTTACAGCCCATTATTGAGAGAAGCCAAGACAAGAACTCAAGGTAGGAACCCGGAGGCAGGAATGTGTTGTTGTTGTTGTTGTTGTTGTTGTTATCAATTAATATGAGGTATTGATGGTCTATAATCTTTTAGGGTTTGGAAATTCACAGAGCAATAACTGTTCAGTGCTTTGTTTATTCTGTTTTAGGATCCTTACCTCGACAAGTTTTTTGCTCTTGTCAATGCTCTAGATGAACATATGTTCCCTGTCCGAATTGGAGACATGCGCATCATGGAAAATAACTTAGAAAATGAACTGAAGAGTAGTATTTCAGCACTGAATTCATCTCAGTTGGAACCAATAGTCCGATTTCTTCATCTTCTGCTTGATAAACTAATACTTTTAGTTGTTAGACCTCCTGTCATTGCTGGACAAATAGGTAACTTATTTTGCTTAGGATGAATCATGAACTTTATAATTTGACATTTCTAACTTAATTAAAAAAATAAAAGCTGTGATTTTTATTGCTGTATTTGATGGAGCTGGAGTGGAGTGCTACTGGCTTGTTGATACCCAAAAAAATGACTTGTGTGGTTTCTGTACTTTATAAATTTCTACTCAAACTATCAAAGAAAATTAATTTATTCAATGAATATTTATTAGGCATTTACAATGAAATAATCACTAATAGGCCCTGTCTAGGACTTGGCCCCTGGTTTTAAGTTTTCGTAGACAAGTTAAGAAAAGTGGCCAGTAGATAATTGTGCTACATTTTGTAGGAGATAGAATGTATCCAGTCTACATTTTCATTCATCTGTCCTCCATTTAATATACATCTTTCCTTCATTTGTATTTTGAAAGGAGAGTTGTTTCTCATTCCCACCCTTTTCAGAGAAAGAAATATGAGCTACCCTGTTATAAAAATTTTGTTGGCTGGTGACACAAAAGAGATAAAGTATTCAACTCCCTGAGATTTTTTTTTTTTAAAGAAAAACATGAGTGGAAGAAATTCTTGGGTAAAATATTCAAAGATGAATAGGCATATACAGATTATTTTAAGGAGCTGAAATTACGTACATAGTACAGAGACAAATGAACTTGGGAATTTGTTGGAAGATTTATAAGTAATGAGTTATAAAGTAGAGAGTTGAGAATTAAAAGTAATGTGGGAGACATGAGATGAAGTAAAGTCTTCCACCACACTCTAGGATATTAGGATTGGTAGTCTATAGGGAAGCAATGTGACCCAAATTATCTTTTAAAAAGATACCATGTGGGGCCTGGGGAGATTGCTTAATTAGTAAAAGTGCAGCACATGTGAAGACGACCTGAGTTGAAGTTTCCAAGAACCCATATAAAAGCCATATTTGCAGTGAGAGCATCTGTGATCCAGATATTTCTATGGGGAGATGGAAGATGGAGACAGGAGAATCCCCAGAAGCATGGACCAGCTAGTCTAGGGTATACAGTGGGAAAAATAACAAAGAATTCCTGTCTCAAAACAAGGTAGAAGACAGGTCCAACACCTAAGGTTGTCTTCTGAACTCACACACATGCCAGGGCACACATGTCTGCACTCACAGGAACACACACGTAAGCACACACACAATCTATGTGGTGATGGATTGAAAGTGGAAAAATCTAGAAACAGACAAATTTTGAGTCAGGTACAATTTTATACCAAAAATGGTAAAAATCCTTATAAATGCAAGTGACAGCAGAGCAGATATGATGGACTAAGGGATCAAAAAGATTAGAGGACAAGCTTTTAAGATTAAAAAAAGCAGGGAGGGGAGTTTACTACTACTCTCTGTTCAAGAGTATAGAAATAAAATAACAGTAACAGTAATAGTAATAGTAAACTGTTATATAAATTTATCAGTATAGTACTGTGTGGTTTATTTTTACTAATGTATGAAATCCCCACAGCAACCTTGGGTATAGTTTCTGTAGTAAGCCCTGTTATTACTATCACTTAATGAATGAGTAAAGTAGCAAACTTGTTTAAAAGTTTTGCCTAACTTCACTCAGCTGTTGTGATACAGCCAAAATTCAACCTATGCAGCTGGCTCTTGAGTGCCTCTTTTTGTTTTGTTTTGTTTTGTTTTGTTTTGTTTTGTTTTGTTCTGTTTTGTGACAAGGCCTCCTGCAGTCCCAGCTGGCCTGGAACTCACAGAGATCCACCTGCCTCTGCCTCCCAGGTGCTGGGATTAAATGTGTGTGCCACCATGCCTGGTACTAATCTTAGAAGAGAAAGCAGGGTTGAGTAGGGCATCAGAACATATTTGATCGTGTTTACATATGAAGACAAATCATTTGGGAGATAGGATAAACTATGGGGTAAGAAAGAATTTAACTTAGTCCAAGGGATGAAAAGACAAATTTGAGGCCTCTGTCTAGTCTTTTACCTTTTTAGTTCAATACATATACATTAATCTTCTAAACAGCCATTTTATTTTATTATTCCACTTTAAGAAAACTTAATTGGCTTCATTGTTCATAATATCCTGTCTTCATTAAATCATACAACTGAGACTTTTGCTCAAAATGCCTACTTGGTTTATCTGTTTTTTCAGTGTGCTACCAGAATTTCCTAATTTTTATAAAATGAATTCATTTGGAATATGGACTTCAGTGCTGGAGGAGGCAGGGCCTATTTTTGCATTTCACATGCTTTGCAGTCATTGGGTCTATCCCTTTTCTCTGATCTTAATCCTTTCACAGATTCAATAATTTATCAAGTTGCTTATCCACTATCTTTTTATATTATTAGTTTTTTTTTTTTGGTGGGGGGTCTTTTTGACACAGGGTCTCCCTGTAGGCCCAGCCCAGCTGACCTGGAACTCGCTATTTAGACCAGGCTGGCCTTGAACTCAGAGATCCACCTGCCTCTGGCCCCCAAGTGCTGGGATTAAAGGCATGCCCCACCATGCCCCACTTATTATTAATATTTTTGATAATTTATTTTCATTGTTAATATTTTAAATTTCTTTTTTTTTTTTGAGACAGGGTCTCCCTGTAGCCCCAGCTGGCTCCAACTTGCTATGTAGACCAGGCTGGCCTTGAACTCACAGAGATCCACCTGCCTCTGCCTCCCAAGTGCCTTTCTTACACAAAAGTAACAAGTGTAGAGCTGGCCATGGTGGCTCACACCTTTAGTCCCAGCACTGGTGGCAGAGACAGGTGGATCTCTGAGTTCAAGTCTAGTCTGGTCTACATAGTGAGTTCTAGGCCAGCTGGGGCTACAAGAGACCCTGTCTCAGAAAGACTGGAAAAAAAAACAAAAACGTATCATTGTACACACTTTAGATTTTCAGAGTCATCTTTAAAATGAGAAGTTAATTCTCCAGGTTATATACAAAATTCCTTTTTTCATTTTCATCTGCTTTGTATTATTTTACAACGTAGTATATATCTGTCAGGCAGTGTTTTTGTTTTTAGCTAATCAAACATATACAATTTTCATATTAAATTAGTAAAATAAGTTATTTCTTTTTGTTTACAAGAATACTTTTTGCTGAGCTATTACAAGATAGTGAAATCAATATAAAATATTATCTTTATATGCTTACTATATATTAATCACTATACTTAAGAGCCTTTTTTAAAATGACAGTGACTTGATTTTTGTAGAATTTCAAATCCAAAAGAGTTGAAACAAAAATATTTTCTTCTTCCTTAAAAGTTAATCTAGGTCAAGCATCTTTTGAAGCTATGGCATCAATTATAAATCGACTTCACAAAAACTTAGAAGGAAATCATGACCAGCACGGTAGAAACAGCCTTCTTGCATCATACATCTATTATGTTTTCCGCCTGCCAAATTCATCCCCTAATTCACCTTCACCAGGTGATTTTTTCTTCTTAGTATGAAATTGTCTTTCATAAATTGTGTTTATGTTAAGATTGAAGTAATCGTGTAATCCATAGTGTGGTGTATTCATTCAACATTTATTTAATATCTGCTAAGTATATTAAGTATGGTCACTGTTATTGAAGGCATATGTTTCATTTTTTAAAATTACACATATAGCTTCCTTTAATTTGAATTGAAGCTCTTGTTCAAATTCTTGAAAATTATTCTTGTACCTTGAAAATTATTGCATGTATTGTTCCTTGTTAAAATTGATACTTTTTTTATTTTGTTATTCAGAATGCTTTTTGACATTAAATGAGAAATATAGTAGTTTTCCAGTAAATCTGTAAAATCTATAGTAATATAAAAATGGTTGTCTACAAAAGTTCTGATCTCTTCATGGCCAGTAAAATAACAAGCTTTCAGAATGTTGACACCTCAAGTAGTTATTTGTCTTCTGTATGCCGTTAGTGATGTGGTGGTTGTGGGGAATGCTTTAGTTTGAATGATCCTTTAGCTGTTTAGTTAATTAATTAATTAATGATTACACTATGTATATTTTTCATACCACTTACCTGTTTATGTGTGTAAGTCATCATTCATCACTAGTGATGACAGTATGTTACTTTTTGTAGCTATTGGCATTATTGATAATAATGGTCATAAACTATAGTGGCATTCAATAGGAAAATAAGACATGAACATAATCAGACTATGCTTTAGCCTAGAATCTCTTTACATTGTTGTGAAAAGAGGAGCAATTGACTCATTCTGGTTGATAATTTCCTATCTTGAGTCTAAGCTACATAACTTGAGGATCTGAGTATGTGAATAGCAGTGGAATAAATAGAATGTATCTCCCTTTACCCTTTTATTTGGTTTGTTATTAGGGTTTCACACATTTAAAAGTATACATGTTAATTAGTTGGCAGGTTTGTATCATTTCAAATACAACATTAGGAAAGATTTTGTAATTAGAAGATGTAGATACAGCTGGGGTAATGGCTCACTGCTGGGGTAATGGTTTTTCATGCAAGCATGAGGACCTGAGTTTCATTTCCCAAAACCCATGTAAAAAAGCCAAATGCAGTGGTACACACAATGTCAGCAGTGGGGAAGACAGGCTCCCTAGAGCTTGCTAACTAGCAAGTGTAACTGAATCACTGAGCTCCAGGTTTGGTGAGAGACCCTGTCCCCAAAATATAAGGTGGAGAGTACATGAAGAATGTACTCAAGGTTGATTCTGACCTCCACATATACATATATGTGGACATGCACCCTTACATTTGCACACACATGTACACACATATAAAAAGAAAGGTATAGATAATGAATATAATTGCTGGATATTCTTGTATTTATAAAATGTGTCTGAAATAAGATATAAAGCTTCATTTTTTTTATTCAGACAAAAGAATTCTTTGTGTCTTTATATAACCTGGGTTCTTAGATAATGCTTTTAGTTTTTCATATGTATTTAATAAAGATGGCATTTTGTTGTTGTTCACACATTATCACTCATGAAGACAGAGAAATGAAAACATACTCTCATTTAAGGGATGTTGGTAAGAATTAACTGTCCCTCTAGTGACCATGTATCAAGGGGGAAAGCAAAGGGTGGGCAGAAAGGAAGAGATATAAGCTACTACATTTTGAGTTTTAGATGCAACCATGTTGGAGTGAAGTTACTGTGTTTCTATTCATTTTCTTTATTACTATGCATACAATATAGAAACAGTTAAGAGAAAGAGTTTTTACTTATAATTTGTAGGGTTTTGGTCAGTTGCTATATAATAGAACTTTATATAGCTAGCATTAGTTCTTGAGTGTTTTTATTTGTTGTAATTTTCATTTAGAAACAAGCAATTCATAATTTTGTAAAATGTCAGGATTTTTTTTTCAGGTCCTTTCCCGATTTTCTTTCTTATTAATTCTGTGCTATTTTCTATGCACCTCCAGGTCCTGGGGGTTTGGGAGGATCAGTGCATTATGCCACAATGGCTAGATCTGCTGTGAGACCTGCCAGCCTTAACTTAAATCGTTCTCGAAGCCTTAGTAATAGTAATCCGGATATATCTGGGACTCCCACATCACCCGATGATGAAGTTCGGTCAATCATCGGCAGTAAGGTAAACTGAAGACATGGTTTTTAGTTTATGGACAAAAGGCAACTGTCTTTAAGTATTTTAATTTGTTCTTAATTTCAAAATGTATTTGGGTTTAGAATAAGTAACAGATTACATATTTCTGTCCTGTTTGAGTTAGAAATAAGCCAAATTGTACTTTCCTATATTCTCACTAAATACTTTCATATTTCTATTACATATGCTTGTAACATGTTATAAACTGATGTATGCATTCTACTAAAAAAATTGCTTAATTCTAAAATATGTCCAGCATAAGTTGTCACATAGAACTTACTGTTGTTGATACTCCATCATGTGAACAATACCTAGTTTGGCTCTGTAGAATGAAAGGGGACCTATGTGACTAATGTATAGAAGAGTCATACTGTCATCTATTTAAGTGAGAGCTCCTTTAATAGTTATCCAGAATAGCTAGTTATTGGCCTTGATTGGTAGTAGAGCTATATTTCATATGAAACTGCATGAACTACACTAGGATTAGAAAAGTTATTTGTTTAATGATGGTTAGTGATTATTCCAGACAAGAGAGAGGTCATCTAGGATAAGATCCAGCCATATTTTATTCAGACCATCTGTTATTATCATACAAAAGTCTTAAGGAGTTGGGCGTGGTGGCAGACAGCACTCAGGAGGCAGAAGCAAGTGGATCTCTGAGATTGAGTCCAGTGTGTTCTGCATTATGAGTTCCAGGGCAGCTGGGACACAGGGAGACCCTGTCTCAAAAAACCAAAAATTTAAAAATTAAAAGTAAAAATAAAAAACTTAAGAAGAGATGTCATTATTGTCTTTCAATGTATAAAGTTCAAAAAGAAATCAGAGTTTAAGCAAGATGCATGAAAGTACAATGCCAAGAAATCACATCAGGTTGTATTTTCACTAAACTTCAAACCTGTTTTTTGCTCCTAAAAAAGAAGCAAAAAGGAAGATAGAGGTTGGGGAGATGGCTCAGTCAGTAGAGTGCTTGCTTGCTTACTTGTTCAATCTCTAGCACCCATCCAAAGCCAAATATGTATGCTGGGGAGACAGAGACAGGAAGATTCCTGGGGCTTGCTGGCCAGCCAGTCTAGCCAAATAGTTCATCTCCAGGTTCAGTGAAAACCATCTCAAAACATATAAGCAATTGAGGAAGACAATATCAATTTCCAGCCCCCACATGTACACTAGAACACACACGCACATACATACATATAAACACACAAAAGAAGGATAATATAGTTTATAAAATCATAGCTTTTTCTTTTGTCATGAGGATATAAGGACCACATCTATGTGAGCTACAATAGAACTTTTAAAAATGCAGGTTTTCTGTTAGGTATGGTGGCACATACTGTAATCCCAGTACTGTGGAGGGCTGAGGCAGGAGAATCAAAAGTCTCAAGTCAGCTTGGGCTACATAGTGTGACCTTGTCTCACAAATAAAGTAATAATAGCAGTAGTAATACAGTGCAATTAAATGGATTTTTAAAAAGTGTAGACTATGTCTAGATTTTTTTGGTGAGATAATACAATACTGATCAAATCATCAAAACTACTCTTATACAAACTTTAGAATTTATATAGTTATAGAAATATTTGCATCTCATAGGTAGAAACATTTATACTTAAGAGCCTCATTAATAAATTTATTTTAATGAACATTTGCTCTTAATAAGTATCCATGTATTATTCATGTTTAAGTAACGTAATTTCTCACAGATCAAAAATACATTTTCAGCCTATAAATTAATAATTAATAGACTCTTAGAGATCTTTATAAATACTTCACTAATTAGCTGCTTTCATTTTTTTTGTGAACTCCCAGACAGACGGATGTGCAAATGTGTATAAAATACTGCAGAGTAACTAGAAATATTGTGATAATTGCACTGAGAAGGCCCCCAACATGTGGTTTTCTGCTAGGCAGAGTACTTGGGATTTTTATTCTTGTTTTCATTCTTGATCATATCTTATTTTAGTAGGGGTAGGGCTTAGTATGACTTACATACTATATATAGTTCTTCAGTTGTATGAACTGCATTTGGAACCACAAATATTTATTATCAAGAGCTATATAGATAGCTTATTTCTCAAGGTTATTTTTTAAAATATCTATTAATTTCTAGAAGACTTACATTATGTCTCATTTAGCAGATTTTCAGTTATTTTTTTATATTTAATATATAATCTCAAGATTTAGAACCAGGAGGTCTGGAATTATTTTTCCCTTTTATCCAACGTCATTAAATGGAACATAAAATAATTATTTTCTCACATTTATATATTAATTTCTAAAAGAAAAAGTCATCACGATATGAGAATTTGTCTTTTAATAGTCCTATCTTAATTAAAAATTTATTCTTTTGAGACAGGATCTCAATTTGTAGCCTAGACTGGTTTCAAACTCATGTTCCTCTTGCTTTAGCCTCCTAAGTGCAGTGATAACAGGTATGTGCTGCCGACGCAGGTCTAATTAAGTTTTATATAAATGGTTTTACATTTTCCCTTTTTATTGGAAAATTTTTGATAGCTACTTCCATATTGTATTTTCTTCCATAATATTTCATTAAAATATTCATAAAAAATATAAGGAATATTTCACAAAAAATATAAGGAATCTGAACTTTTTGAATATCTTCTCTTTATTCTTATTTTATTGGCCTGGTGATTCAGTATCCTCTTTTAGGGATCTTGTCGTTCATTCTGTCTCAGTTATCGTCTACTTAGTTATTATCAGTACCAGTAACTTAAACTTGATAATCTCAATTTCATGCATTTTGTTTTCTGATCATCATCATCATCATCATCATTATTATTATTATTTCTTAACCTAGTGCTCCAACTCTTATACTTTCCCTTCTTCTTTGTGACTTCTCATTTTGGTTTTTTGGGAGGGTAGGGTCGTGTCTTACCTTCTGAACATTCTTCTCCTTAGCTTAGCATTATGATCAGTCATTATAATTCCCATCACAATCAAACCTCAATTCCCATTTTCTTCTCAAATTTGAAACTATCATTAAACTCAACCTGCCTCACCCATGTCTTAAAAAATGTCAACTAGTCTCATTTGAAATTCCAAAGCCCTGGGCTTAGAGAATGGTTAAGGCTGTTAGGCAATCATTTCAGTGTTTTATTCAGTATTTCATTCTTTAAGGAAATTATTTCATGCGATAGGTTATTACCACAAGCCACCTAATACTTCTCCCCCCTCATCCTCCTCACTTTATCTCCTGTTTTATTGGGAAAACTAAAGTCTTTCAAAGAAAATTTTCATGGACATTGACCATCATGTCTACCAGTTTCTGCCTACTGCTTAATCTTCTGATGGAGGTAAACTACGTTTTGTTCTCAGTCCACTACTTCTGCTTAACATAAGAGACCATCAGATCCCCTGGAACTGGCATTACGGATAGTTGTTAGCTGCCATGTGGGTATGGAATTCAAATCTGGGTCTTCTGCAAGAACAACCAGTGTTCTTAACCACTGAGCCATCTCTCCAGCCCTATTCTCTGTTTTTAATGTAGAAATATCTTCTTTTGCAAGTCTCGTGGTTTGTTAAATGCCTTATAAATGTTAAGCTAATCACTGCCCAACTTAATTTTTCAATACAGATTTCTTGGGACTTCTACTTAGATGCTTTTTTTTCTTTTTTAAAAAAATATTTAATCATTATTTTTATTTTATATGTATGCATGTATTGCCTACATGTAGGTAAGTGTACCCATGTCATGCAGTGCCTGTGGAAGACAGAAGAGGCTGTCAGATCCCCTGGAACTAGAGTTACGGACAGTTGTTAGCTGCCATGTGGGTGCTGGGATTTGAACCCGGATCTTCTTGCAAGAACAGTCAGTGTTCTTAACTGCTGAGCTATCTCGCCAGCCCCTTAGATACTTTTTAAAATCTTTTCATTCAGATTGCATATATGTTAAAAATAGAGTCACCTTTTTTTTTTTTCCCCTGTACTGGAGATTGATCACAAGACCTTGCACAAGACCTACTTCTTACTACCTTTACCATCTTAGCCTGAGCTGTCAGTATCTTTCCACATATTAACCTGATAATCTTAAAATGGCTTCACCACTGTTACTCTGCCTTCTATTCACTACATAGCAGCAAGAGTGGCACTTTAAAAATGAAGGATACAAAAAAGAAATTAAGTCCGATTATGTCATTCCTTTAAACAAGACCCCTCCTAAGACCAACTTTCAATTCCTTTAATACATTACTTAGAAGGTCACCTTCCTAGTGAGGTCTAACTAAAAATTGTATTTAAGTGTATAAACCAATGTCTTAGTATCTTGTCCTGTTGCTTTGATAAAATACCCTGACAAAAGCAACTGAACAGAGAAAGGATTTACTTTAGCTCACAGCTCAAGGCACAGTCTACCAAGGCAGGGAAGTTACAGTGGCAGGAGCTTCAGGTAGCTGGTCACATGCATCCCTAGTCGGGTTGAATGCTTGCAAGTGATCAGTTTGATTTCTCCATTTTATGTAGCCCAAGATCCTCTGCCCAGGGAATGATTCCACCCACAGTTAATGAGTCTTCCCACACCAATTATCATAATCAGGATAATTCCCTACAGGCATGCTCAGAGGGCCTTCTGTCAGGTGATTCTGTCAAATTGGCAGTTAACACTAATCATCACAGCTCTGCCTGCTGTTAACTTGACACCGAAACACAACACTTTTAAGCCATTACCTTCTTTTTACCTTATGTCACCAGACTCATGACCATGTTATAATATAAAATGCATTCACTCCAACTTTCAAAGTCACCATGGTCATTAACAGCTCCAACATTTAAAAAAATCTAAAATCTCTTAATTCCTATAAAATAACAGATTACTGACTTCCAACATATAATGGCATGGAGTAACACTCCCATTCCAAAATGGAAAAACTGGGGCATAGCAAGAAACAATCATATCAAAGCAAAACCAGGGACTGGAAAGATAGCTTAGCAGTTAAGAGCACTGGCTGCTCTTGCAGAGGACCCAGATTCAATT